AGAGACAATACCTACAAACTAAAGAGGTCTGAAAAAAGATTTTTTTTTAAATCATGGCACCCTTTGCAGGTAGAAGCTTGGCAGAAGTATGCTTGAAAATGACCATTTACTATGGCCAAAGCTTGCTCTCTGGAGTTAAGGTAACTGGATGTCTTTGCAATGGGGTAGAGGATTGGCAATTGGACTTCTGCTGCTGGTGGCTCTCTCAGTTCCTTTTAAAAGGCTTTAAACATTTTTGTTTTTGCTGGAGAAGGGGACCAATGGTGAGTTTACCTTGGATGAGGGAAATTAGTATGTTTCACAACAAAAGCTGCTCTCAGAGCATCTGAGACACACATCTGCCCTTCAGAAACTGCTCTGAGGCAGGTAAATAATGAGTGGGAGGAATGGTGATTCTCAGCATTAGGCGGGTGCTGTAGGGTGCCTGGCACCTCATCATTGCAGTTCTAACACTAGCTCATGATGAGTCATGATGTTTGTGTCTTTTTAGGCATCCTCTGCAAGTGAACAATTTCAGAGTAGATATAGCTGCTGGTAAATGGCTTTAGTTTCCAGACTGGATTTTCCAACTTCATATTCACAGATAAACAAAGAGAAGATGTTTTATTTCTTCTTTTCCATGGTAGTTCTTATCCCTGGATACTGTGTTATTGAACCATATTTGTATAGAAATAACTGAAATGATGAGGATCCCCCCCCAAGCATCAAGGATTATTCTAAGATGCTAAGGTTAAGAAGATAGACCCAAGTCTCAAATCTACATAACTAAGGGTATGGTTTGCCAGTACTTGTAGGATAAAGAGAATAATTTAAAGATGGGGAAAGTTTATTGGAGGTAAAGCAACTATGTATAATTAATCTTTATAGCATATACTCAAAAAATTATAATGTTAGCATGATCTGAGGGTAGAGTTTTGGCCTCCTAACCTAAAAAAGTCAACCACTGGACACTTATGCAGACCTAAATAAAGAGTTACTGAATTTGATGCACAGTGGTGGGCACACTCCTGCAATCCCAGCACTTGGGAGGCAAAGGCAAGTGAATCTCCGAGTTTGAGGTCAGCCTGGTCTACAGAGTGAGTTCCAGGACCACCAGGGGCTACATAGAGAAACCCTCTCTCAAAAGCCCAAGGGGAAAAAAAGGTACAGAATTCAACAAAAGTAGTCTTCAGTGCCTGAGAAGTAAGCTAGGTAGCAACCATTAGCATGGTCATTCTCATTGGGGACTATCTAATGAAGAGCTAGCGGGAGACTAATAAAACAGTGCTCAGTTATATGACCTCTCAAAGTCAACTAAGACAAGTAACTAAAAGTAAACAGGCTAGAAGGTTTACTCACCCCCTATTTTACAAGCAGTTTAAGAGATTATTTTATTGGTATTCATAGGAAGGAAGAATTCCTGTAAGAAATTTGGCAACAAATACATAATGACCAAAAGGAATTTTAGAATTAAATTTGGTGACTAATAGTGACTACTTATTCCGTCAATTTATGCTTTACTATAGTGTTCATATTTCTTTTTCTTTTTTTTTTTTTTTTTACGAGACAGGGTTTCTCTGTATTGTTTTGGAGGCTATCGGTCCAGCCCAGCCTCGAACTCACAGAGATCCGCCTGCCTCTGCCTCCTGAGTGCTGGGATTAAAGGCGTGTGCCACCACCGCCCGGCTAGTGTTCATATTTCTTAGCTGCCATCAGTCATCCTTTAAGGGTGGGTATTAGACCCCCTCCCACATTACAAATGAGCAAACTAGAGATCAAAAGAATTAAGTAGTATGTTCTGTCTCACACAGCTTGTGAACTGCAGCTGAAGCTTTTGACCCTACTGCATTTGTTTATGTAAATATAACTTTGGCCAGGCATGGTGGTGATGCCTTTAATGCCAGCACTCAGAGGCAGGAGGCTCTCTGTGAGTTGAAGGCCAGCCTGATCTACAAAGTAAATTCCAGGACAGCCAGAGCTATGTAGAAACTGTCTCAATAAAGCCCAAGACAAATATAAATGTAATTTCAAATTCTTGGGGAAAAGTAAAAAAAAAATTGAGATGTTACCTTTTGTTGGTTTATAAAATGTTTCACGTTTATTTTCTGATCTCAATGTGTGTTTTCTTTTTACCAAAGATAATTATGGTTTCATTTATTTATTGGCGATCCTGGAATTCTGTAGACAAGGCTGGTCTTTAACTCAAGGATCCACCTGTCTCTGGCTCTGGAACGCTGGGATTAAAGGTTTGCACCACCACTACCCGGCATCCTTGTTTCTTTCTTTCTTTTTTTTTTTTTTTTTTTTGGTTTTTTCGAGGCAGGGTTTCTCTGTGGCTTTGGAGGCTGTCCTGGAACTAGCTATTGTAGACCAGGCTGGTCTCGAACTCACAGAGATCCGCCTGCCTCTGCCTCCCAAGTTCTGGGATTAAAGGCGTGCGCCACCAACACCCGGCTTCATCCTTGTTTCTTTTAAAGAGTGATTCCTTTTCTGAATGAAAAATAAACTTCAACTGTACTGAGTGAATCTGGGTGATCACATATACTGTCATTTCATACTATGTAAAGCCTTCTGTCCCTTAGGTGTGTTGTGTATATAATGACTGTTTATGAGGTAGCTGAAAGTACAGCAGGCCTCAGCACTGTCTGTCCTGTCTGCCACTTACATCTGTGTGACCTAGGATAAGAAGTTTCTAATCTCAGTATCAGATCAGAAGCTCCTTCCTTCCTTCCTTCCTTCCTTCCTTCCTTCCTTCCTTCCTTCCTTCCTTCCTTAAGACAGGGTTTCTCTGTTGTAGGCTTGGTTGTCCTGGAACTTGATCTGTAGACCAGGTTGGCCTTGAACTCAGGGATCCACTTGGCTCTGACTCTTGAGTTCTGGGATTAAAGGCGGTTACCATCATGCCTGGCTATTGCTGGGATTTTTTTAAATACTAAAAATGGAATGACTCTGTAAATATTAAAAATATTTAAAATCATATAAAAGCAAGAAGATTTTTCATTACTTCTCTCACATTAGTGCTGAAGAAAGGATGACATCCCATCAGAAGCAAATAAAGTATTATCTAAACAATGGTAAAAAAAAAATTGAGGGCTGAGCGTGGAGCTCAGTGGCAGTACATGGAAGGCTTGAGTTCAATCTCTAGCCTTCATAATAGTAATAATAATAGTTTTTTTTGAGACAGGGTTTCTCTGTATTGTTTTGGAGGCTGTCCTAGAACTCACTCTGTAGACCAGGCTGGCCTCGAGCTCACAGAGATCTGTCTGCCTCTGCCTCCTGAGCGCTGTGATTAAAGGCGTGCACCACCAACGCCCGACCCAATAATAATAGTTGTTATTATTATTATTTGTCTAACTGTGGTGTCTCATACCTATAAACCCATCATCCAGGAGGCTGAGGTAGGAGAATCAACAGAAATTTCAGGCAAGTCTGAACTATTATATAGTGAGTTTCAGACAGGACAGGATATCCAATGAGTCTCAAACCCCTCTGGGCTACAGATCAAGACTTCATTAAAAAAAAAAATCAACCAACCAACCAACCAACTAAAGAAACAAACAACAAAAGAGAAGAAACTGGTCCTATGAAAGTTTGGAAAAACTTGAAAGTTTAAGAAAAACACAGGAGCCGGGTGTTGGTGGCGCACGCCTTTAATCACAGCGCTCAGGAGGCAGAGGCAGGCGGATCTCTGTGAGTTCGAGGCCAGCCTGGTCTACAAAGTGAGTTCCAGGACAGCCTCCAAAGCCACAGAGAAACCCTGTCTCGAAACCAAAAAAAGAAAAAGAAAAAAAGAAAAACACAGGACCTGAATAGGCAATACAGGTGGTGGTGGCACACATCTTTAATCCCAGCACTTGGGAGGCAGAGGCAGGGGCATTCTCTGTGAGTCTGAGGCCAGCCCAGTCTCCAAATCCAGTTCCAGGACAGCCAGAGCTGTTACATAATGAAACCCTGTCTTTTGAAAAGACAAACAAACAAAACAAAGTGGGCAGAGTAGGGAAATAGCTTTGCTCATTTCAGATACAGATGGGCATTCCTGGGTAGTATGTGATTACAGCTGGTAAATTCTAATGATCTTGGAGGTTTCCTTTAGAACTATCAAAGACATAGGAAGCATGGTTATCTAACTTGCGGACACACACACATACACAAAATGGGCAGCAATGTTAAGATAGTAAATGGCAAAAATCGTGTTTCAAGTTGAGCTTTATTATTGAGGTCTTGGGACTCTATGAGATATTTTCACACAAAAATAACAGGACTTGTTAAAAGATTTGAAAAGTGGGAGGACATGTGCACACCAACTTAGAAGCAGTGTGTTAAAGCAGGTTTTGTAGGAACCAAGGCATTTAGACTCAGCTGGCTTCTGGCCTTGCTATGTTTTTGTCTCCTCGCCAACATTGTAAAATTTTGTAGGAGCTAACTGAATTAATTTGGGGTCAACTGCTTCGAACAGTGCTTGACATACAGTCAACCCTATGTAAGGTTTAAGACCATATGGAACTCTTTTTTTGTTTGTTTTTTGTTTTTTGAAACAGGGTTTCTCTGTAGGTTTGGAGGTTGTCCTGGAACTCTCTTTGAAGACCAGGCGGCCTCAAACTCACAGAGATCCGCCTGCCTCTGCCTCTGCCTCCCAAGTGCTGGGATTAAAGGCGTGCACTACCAGCGCCCAGCTAACACCACATGGAACTCTTAAGTTAACATGAGAGAGCAGAAATTATATTAGCTGTCCAAGTGCTCCATCCTTATTTACTTTCTCCTACTCGAGCTGGGCTCTGAGGGTTGGGTCTATCAGGTGCATCCCTGGAGCTGCTAGCCCATTGTATGGGACCGCCCGCAAGGATTTAACGCCCTCATCTCTCAAATTCAGTCGACCGCTTCAGTAGCTCACCAGGCCTGGACATCGCTCAGCGATGAACCTCCTCGCCGATCGGGGGCGCTGTCGGGACTAGAAGAGCCACTGCGAAAGCACGACCGCTCCCCTCCACGCCCATATTCAGGAAGTGACGCAACGCTTGAGCCCGGCGGCTGAAGTTCTGTCACTCGATAGACGGAAGTCCCGCCCACCGCCGACAACGGAAGTCCGGTTCGCCGTCTCTCCAGGTTTCCTCGTGTCTTCCACCGCCGGCATGGCGCACTACAACTTCAAGAAGATTACGGTGGTGCCGTCTGCCAAGGTAGGGGCGACAGAGATCGTTCCGATACCCTCTTTTTTCCCTGATAATTCGCCAGAGGCGATCCAGGCCTGTGTCCCCGGGGCTGGGAGAGGGAACACCCGTAGATCCACTTGGCCCTTAGTGCCGGGTTCCACTGGCCAGGCTTTGTCTTAGGGATCTTCAGAGATCAGGCCCAGTCTCAGAATCCAAGCCCCTCTCCTCCTGTCTGTGGGTCCCCCAAACCTAGAGTCCCTCCAAGACCCCCGAGACCCCTCCTGAACCTGTGATTCTTGTGTGGTCAGCCGATGTGACACCACTGGGTGGTGGCCACAGTGAGGAGCAAGGCAGGAAGCCCGAGCTGCTCAGTCGTGAGCGTCGAGCGAGCCCTGCTTTGGGATTCTAAGTTCAACGTAGCATCTGCCCCTTTTAAACTTCAGTCATTGCTGTCACAGCCAAAGAATCTGTAGGTAGTTGTCATTTGTCGTTGGACCTGGGAAATGTAATTGGTTTTAAGCATGCCTAGGTAAACGTAGCCAGGCCATAATTGTGTAACGCGTCAAGATACATCCCCTAAAGTGTCTTATCAATTAGCTAGGTTAAAGAACCTCCGGGGGACATTGAATTGCAGGATCAATTCAGAGAAGGAACTGTTGTCATTCATTTTACAGCAGTGTGGATATTTTCAGTATCCCCCTTTCTGAATGAGCGTGTTTTCAACAATTTTCCAAAGGACTTGTATTTTCTAGTGGGTGTGGTGGTGTATACCTTTTATCCCAGCATTAGGGAGACAGAGGCAGGTAATCTAGAGAGACCTGTCTCAAAAAGACAAACTTTTTTTTTTTTTCGAGACAGGGTTTCTCTGTATTGTTTTGGAGGCTATCGGCCCAACCCAGCCTCGAACTCACAGAGATCCGCCTGCCTCTGCATCCCGAGTGCTGGGATTAAAGGCGTGCGCCACCACCGCCCGGCTCAAAAAGACAAACTTATTTTTCACTAGTGACTTACAGAGTTGTTTTCCTTACATGTCTCTGTTATTTCTCCCTTTCTGATAATCATTCTGGTAAATTTCTCGCTAGTTTGTAGTATTTGGAAAGAAACTGGATGTAGGAATCGTATCTTGTGTTCTAGTCCTCCTGATTGTCCCAAGCAACTCTCGGGTGCACATTGAAGACGTTTGTAAACTTTTATCTCACTTGAAATGGAGTTCATTGGGTCAAATGAACTTTGTTAATATAATTGACTGAAGAGTTTTTTTAAACATTTTAGTACAGCATGTATCTTGGTTGCCCTGAATGAAGTCTGTTTCTAGAGAATAAATGAGCTTGCATGTGTGTAGAAGATAAGTGATGGTCATTCTGTGGTGGTTGAAAAGAAAAATTCAATCTGAAGAGTATGGGATACTTGTGTAAAAGTGCTAGGTACTTACTGTCTGTGTAGATATGCACAAGATAAAGTAATAGCTTAAGAATCATTTTCTAAAGAATAAATGAGTGCTTTCAGACCCACAGTGTGATGGAGAAATGTGTGACATAATACAATTGGCCCTCAGTGTGAATTCCAAATCCAGATTCAGCCAACTGCTATTTGAAAATTGCATCTATATTTAATGTACAGCCTCCCTCCCTCCCTCCCTCCCTCCCTCCCTCCCTCCCTCCCTCCCTCCCTCCCTCCCTCCCTGCCTCCTTCCTTCCCTCATTTTGAGATGTGGTTTCATTATGCTGCCCCTACTAGTCTGGAACTTAGAAATCTGCCTCCTTCTGCCTCCAGAATGTTGGGATTCAAGGCATGAGCTGCATGCAAAGGCCTTGCACACAGACTTTTAAAAACATTTCCTGCATACAGTGTTACAGCTATTTAAAGTATGTGACAGATGTATGGGATTCCTCTATATAAGAACTGTGCTGTTTTCTATAATGAACTCACAAATATTTACCTGTTTTGTTGGAGATGGGGGGATGGGTCTGAATACAAATTCCCCATAAATACCAAGGATCTAGGACAGTATAAGAACATAAAGATAAGTAGGCCAGTCTAGGGAAGCATTTAGTAGGCATCCTTTGAACTGTCACCTTAAAGATGTGAGCTTTGAAAGGAGCAGAGGAGTGGCAGGTAAGAGCATCCATGTCCTTCATAATCCTTGACAGACTGTATGTGACTGCCTGCTTGTTCATTTTTTCCCCTATCACTGGATTCACCATTTATCTTCAGCATTGTAACCATTTTATCTTTTATTATAGGAAGTGGTCAATATTGTTGAATTAATGGAAGTGATCAAGGGGAAGTAAAATAACTTTATATGGTGTAGAAGTGACTGAGGAGACAGGAGGATAGAGAAGCAGGGTCTCCTCACCCTACCACTGAGGAGTAAATACAAAAAAAAATACTAATCCTCAAATGGTTTCTTTATATACATAGGGAATTTTAGATGATGGGCTTTAATTTTTTTATTTTATTTTGTATCCCCTTATATTTAAAGCTATAAAGACCTTGAAATTGATATACTCCCAGCACTCGGGAGGCAGATGCAGGCGGATCTGTGAGTTCAAGACCAGCCTGGTCTACAAAGTGAGTTCCAGGACAGCCTCCAAAGCCACAGAGAAATCCTGTCTTGAAACCCCCCCCCAAAAAAAGAAGAAATTGATATACTGACTTTTTTTTTTCAGTAATTTTTTTCCGATTTATTCTTGGGTTTTCTTAGGAATTTGAAAGCTAAAATGGCATTTTAAAAAAAAGCATGGGGTAAAATATATCTCAGCCATCATTTAGCAAGTTCCCCCCCCCCCCATTTTTCCTGGAGGGGCAACAGAGGAGGGGTCTCTTCCATCAGTTGGGAGTATTCACAGGCTTTTTAGCCATTCCAGGTGAGGGTCCTGGGAATGGCTGGGCACATCAAGCGTGGTCCCATTAGCTGGAACAGGCTGGGTAGTGTAGGTGTGGCCTGGTTGATCGTGGTGGTGGCGTACTTGGTGTAGGGGCTGAGTGGGGCATAATTAAAGCAAGGCTTCTGACAGCAGGGGACACCGGCAGCGCTGGCCCTAAAGCTCAGGCATTCTTGAGGAATGTGGAGAGTCTGCCAACAATCTTGGTCTTGGTGACTGCTGACAAGTTTTCTTTAAGGCCAGAAACTATAAAGATGAGCCAAGTTGTATATTTTTTTTATAAAAAAAATGAGTTAGAAAAGTAATTTTGTATTTTAAAACATGTTATACTGAATTAGTGTTTTAAGACAGTTAATAGTAAATGGATAGAAAGTACATATTTGAATTGTATCTTAATTATTTTCTTTAATTGTAGGATTTTATTGACCTGACATTATCCAAGACTCAACGAAAGACTCCAACGGTTATTCATAAACATTATCAAATTCACCGAATTCGACATTTTTATATGAGAAAAGTCAAATTTACTCAACAGAATTACCATGACAGACTATCACAGATTTTGACAGATTTTCCCAAGTTGGATGTAAGTGACATGTATGATTTATATAAATATAAGCCTTCAGAGAATCAGTGTTTAGCTAGTTTGATGTATTCATTTATCAGAGAAGAAATGAAATAATTGATTTGTCTGTTACTCAATGATTCAGTGACAAAGCTAGTTTTGGAATCCAGGTTCTTTTTGAGTCTATAGTGTTCTTCCCAAACCCTTTCTCAGTCGTCCCAAAGCTATCTGCCCAGGCTTTCTTTGCAGTGAGTGTCTGGGCTTGCCAGTGCCAATGTTAGCTTAGAGGAAAGCTGTTGATTGCATATTCTGAAACTCAGGATTCTTGGGTGGCCTGTGACTTGTCTAAACTTCATCCTTTCTTGTTCTGAAGGCTCCCTTTCCTCTGAGTTTAACAGAATTAGTGGTCAAAGGTACCACAGTTTGTGAGCTTGTTACTTTGTGAATGATGGTTAATTCGGCACTGACAGTTTCCTTTCCTGACAAAGGGTAGCACAGAGAGCTGTAAATGAAGCTGTACACACTTCCCTGCAATTGACTGCTACCACTTGTTTATTCAGCTTCAGAAACAGAAGAGCAGAGATACTGTTCATTTCTTGGGAAAAGCCAAGTATTAAAAAGAACTTGAGGGTTAGAAAAAAAGAATGAACTGATCTAAACTGATTTAATATCAGTAAATACTCGATTTTTAGTAAACAGTGTATTTTAAAATAGTTATAATCAGGTTTTTGTCATTGTTTTTACATTGTATCTTTTTTGTTTGTTTGTTTGTTTTTGAGACAGGATTTCTCTGTATTGTTTTGGAGGCTGTCCTGGAACTCGCTCTGTAGACCAGGCTGGCCTCGAACTCACAGAGATCTTCCTGTCTCTCAGAGCAAAACAAAACAAAATAAATAAAATTAATGACGTCATTCTAGTGGAGTGAGTTCATAAACATAAAAATATGTAGCATGTCATGTCAAAGAAAGAAAGCTCAGTTAGGAAATAAGGTGTCTGCAGGGAGACTGAGAGAATTGAAGAGAGTGAATCGTGTAGGCAGAATAAACATCAGCTGTATGAAGTGAGAATTAGCAATTGGGGAGTTATTAGTCAACTTAAGCTCATAAAAATTCTGGTGAAGTGTGTTCAAGTGGAAAAAGAGGTAAAATGCCTCCCTTCCTGCCAGCATTAAGTTCCTGGAGGGGCGTGTGCGTGCATGCGTGTTGTCCTAAATAGTTCTGACAGTGTCATAGGATGGAAGTTGGGGTGACTGCACGTGATTCTATAGCCCCTTCCCTGGGGATTGCTTCTGTTTCCTTAGAGGAGTAATTTGACATGGTTTTTGGAAAAAGAGGGCTTAGAGGATCCAGGTTACAGGAAAGGAAAATCAGTCTCTACTATTTGTTGCTTAAGGCTATGAAACTATTGCACTGCAGTGATGTTGTATATTTCACTTTTTCATTATAGGACATCCATCCATTTTACGCTGACTTGATGAACATTCTCTATGACAAAGATCATTACAAGTTGGCTCTAGGCCAAATAAATATTGCCAAAAATTTGGTGGACAAGTAAGGTATTTTCTTACTATAATATCTTGTAAGTTATTAAAAAAATACAAAAAAAAACTTAGATATTTTCTCTTTTCCTAAGTGTTGCTAAAGATTATGTGCGGCTTATGAAATACGGTGATTCTCTGTACCGCTGCAAGCAACTGAAGCGTGCTGCCCTTGGGCGCATGTGTACTATTATCAAGAGACAGAGACAGAGTTTGGAGTATTTGGAACAAGGTACTTGTTACACATAAGCAGAAATGGGTTTTACGGTGTTTTTTTATGTTCAGGACTTATTCTTGACTCTTTTTGTCTTTTGGAGGTTTGGGAAATGCATGTTTTTAATATGTAGCAAGTAAAACATACTCCTCAAAATACTTTATTTAGACTGATAAGTTTTGACCATAGCTGGAAATGGGGAACTTGTGCTACACCCCTATCCTTACAATCATTTTGATTGGCATTGTTCTTTTTTCCTGAAATGATTTGTCAAGTTTCTTTGGAAGTGTGTCCCACAGATCTGTGGGATTCTCATGATAGTCCAGTGGGCACCATGCTAGAGCTGTGCTGGTGTTTCAGGAGCGGTAACTAAGCGAATATTTCAAGTCACAGCACGCATCCTTCAGAATTACACTGTAGATCAAATATCAGTAATCATTTTTACCAAGCATGGTTCTTAGTCTCACTTCGACTAAAGCAACCAAAATGGCAGGTTGGTAAATTAGACATGACTCTTGGTGTGGCCACATTTAGAAATGCTTTTGTGTGGTTTCCACAGTTATTCCTTAACCCCCTCATTTTCTCTTATCAATTTTACAGTTATAAAAATGTAATCCCAACCACTGGGGAGACTGAGGTAGGAGTGCAAGGTCAAGGCCTGCCTTAGTGAAGTCTCAAAATACAAAGTAGGGTTGGGGATGTTGCTCAGTGGTATAACTCTTTCCTAGCATAGTAAGGCCCTGGGTTCAATAACCAATGTGTTCCTGTCCCGTCCCCCCAAAAAAAAAGCTACAGTGAGGAATTTTACCATCTTTGTTTATTAAAATAACTATGAGCCTGGAGTATAACTCAATAGAAAGTTAGATTTCAAGCCAATCTTAAATTCTAATTTTTTAATTTAACTCTTTATAGTACGTCAACATTTATCCCGCTTGCCAACAATTGATCCAAATACAAGGACTCTACTTTTGTGTGGGTATCCAAATGTTGGGAAATCCAGCTTCATCAATAAGGTGGGTGTGTTTTTTTTTTAATTGTAAAGCAGCCTTTTGATTAATTTAGGTCAAAGTACTACCACATTTCCTTTGTTGGAATCAGGATCGACTTGGGAATATTCTAATTAGTCATTAGTAAAGTCTGCCCTTGTGTTTTCTAGGTCCTGATTTGTAAGCACATCCATGTTTCTTTCAGGAGGGTTAACTCATTGTCTGAAACTAGATTGAGTGATTGCCGGGAGCGTTCATTTTGATTCTTGTGTGCCCTACAATTTCTCAGGAGTACTCACGGAGAGGTTTTCATGACAATGTTGTGTGTACTGGGAGTTCTCTGATATGCCTGGTGGCACTCGCTGAGCTAGAGTGTCCCAGCCTAAGGCTACTTGGGTGACTTTTGCCTTGGTGATTGTATCAGCTTTCATATGAACTATGTGTCTATTGTAATTGAGATTTTCTGAGTCTCTTACTGTTTTTTTTTTTTTTTTTTTCCTCTGACACATGGTCATGTTATAGTCCAGGCTTACTTTGAGCCTGCTATCTTCTGCCTCTGTCTCCAGAGTGCAGGGATTATAAGGTATAGGCTCCATGCCTGGGCAGTGTCTTCCTTTACCTGAGTAGAATTATTATGCTCCGGTGTGATATTTAAGTAAAATAATTTACTCCTTGTAGATATATTAGGGCCCACCCACCCAGGGCCAGAACATGCTTGCTTTGAAGCTTTGTGTGAGTGTTTGTGTGTGTGTGATGGTCAGGGAACAGCTTGCAGGCATTGGTTCTCCTTTTACTATGTGGGTCCTGGATTGAACTCAGGTCATCAGGCGTGGTGGCAGGCACCTTTACCTACTGGCTCAGTAGGTTTTATTTTTGCTCACGGTTGCCCTGACTTGGTAGCAAACAATGCTCTCAGGGTTCTAATTGAAGTTTGAATGCCTGTCAGCTTGCTCTAAATCTGCTATGACTGTTCTGTCTTCTGGGGGAGGGTACAGTGTGGTTTTTCAATTGTGGTTTAAACTAATTCAGCAAGATGAAAACTGCGTATTGAACCTTGAAGAATAGAAAGTGGCTGATGGCTCCTCAGTGTAAGGAAAGAGGAGCCAGGCATTTGCCAAAACAATACTATCTGTTCTGTGAGGTCTGTGAGTGAGTGAGTGAGTGAGTGAGTGAGTGAGTGAGTGAGTGAGTGTGTGTGTGTGTGTGTGTGTGTGTGTAACTCAGGGCCTCACACATACTAGGCAGTGCTCTTCTGGCTGCTATCCCCAGGCTTTTAATTTTGAGATAGTCTTTCCAAGTTGCCCAGCCTGACTTTGAGCCTGTTATCTTCCTGCATCAGAACCCTATATAGCTGGGACTTGAGTAGTGTTGTGTTTGGCTAAAATTAGTCTTGATAAAGTGTGGGTGCCATGCTTAGATTGTTTGGGGGGAAACTGTGGTATGGAACTCATGTAACTGTGGAAGTATCATTTTGTCTCCTTCAAGGTGACAAGAGCAGATGTGGATGTTCAGCCCTATGCATTTACCACCAAATCTCTGTTTGTTGGGCACATGGACTATAAGTACCTGCGCTGGCAGGTGAGTATCATCTTCAAACATAGAAGAAGCATCCTAGGTTTTGGTTTAATAGAATTGGGTGATTTCTAAAGAGTGTAGTGTATCTTCATTCCATAGTGCACTTACTATTGTCAGTGGTGAGCAGCATCTTCTAGGGACAATTCTGAGGTGGGGGATAGTTTCTCTGGTCTCACCAAGAATTTGAGATCTCTCCATCATGATAAAGAGAACTGGCCCAAACTTTGGAGATGTGTAATGACAGATCATATTTATGTAACCGAGAGGAAGCCGGCAGCTGCCATATGGATTTCTGCATTACTTCTGCAGGGGTGATTTCATTTCCTTAATGACGCCTCTAATGAATAAAATACTGTCTGTTATTTTAAGCTCTGTTACTAGAAATGGCATTTACTATTGAAAAGCAGGAACAGTCTAGCTTACAACCAAATCTAATTTTATTAATGATGAAGAAGCCAAACCTTGGGGGTTGGGAGAGCTATCATTTATTACAGTTTTTCTGAGTTTTGATGGCTGTGTGTAAAGAGGGCTTATTTCTCCCAAGGCCAGTATCTCTTTAATGGACTCTGCAGAATTCTTTAGATCCCTGTATCTGTCCTTTGGATTCAGGGTCTCACTCTAGCCAGGGTGACCTTAAGCTCACTGTGTAGGTCACTCTAGCCTTAGACTCATGACAATCCCCCTATTTCCACTTCTTTAGTGCTAGGATTACAGGTGTGAGTAACCATACCAGGTTCCTGGATTTGGTTTTTGCAGTATAAAGATATATGTAATTTTTTCTGTTCCTTTGTTTATTTTATCTTGGGCAGTTTCTGATGTCATATTTTATGTACAAGTTTTGCTAGAACTGGTTTGGATGTAAGAGAATGAATCTGGGGCCAGTCAAGACATTTTTGAATGAGTGTACTTTGGGTAATGAAGCCTGGTTATTAGGTTGTAGATACCCCAGGGATTTTGGATCATCCTTTGGAAGATCGGAACACCATTGAAATGCAGGCTATCACAGCCCTGGCCCACCTCCGAGCTGCAGTTCTGTATGTGATGGATTTGTCTGAGCAGTGTGGACATGGGTTGAAAGAGCAACTCGAACTCTTCCAGAATATCAGACCTCTGTTCATCAACAAGGTAAGTGTGGTAACTAATACTTTAATTGACACACCAGCACCTTCTTACTCGTAGGTAATGGGTTCTCAGACAACCACTGTGAACCTGAAACCATAGATGGTACTGAATGTTCTTTATTTCTTGACCACAAGCAGTACTGTGACAGCTGATGTGATAACTGACACAAATGGAGCAGCTGGTGCCTGATAGCATACACAGTGAATAAGCCAGGCAAAAGGATGGTTTGTGTCCTGGGTGGAATGCAGCACTAAGACACAAGGTTTCATTGCACTGCTTAGGATGGGTCACAGTTTAAATTTACGAATTGTTTATTTGTAGAACTTTGCAGTTTCTATTTCCAGCAGTAGTTGATCTAGACTTGGGTAAATGAAATTGCAGAAAGCAAAGGCATGGACAAGGAGGGGGATTGTGTCATTCTGTAGTGTGAAAATAATACTTTCTTTTTTTTTCTTGCCAGCCTCTTATTGTTGTAGCTAACAAGTGTGATGTGAAGAGAATAACTGAGCTTTCTGAAGAAGATCAGGTAAACCTCTTTGGTATAGTTTACACACACACACACACACACACACACACACACACACACACACACACAATACTTTTTTTATAAAAACCAATTTTGAATCATCAGATGTTCATTTAGAAGGAATTTTGGTGCTTCTAGACCACTTTGCTGATTTTTTTAAAAATTTAAATTAGAAACAAGCTTGTTCCACATGTCAATCCCAGCTCCCTCTCCCTCCCCTCCCCTCCTCTCCTGTCCCCCTTCAACCTCCCACCCAATTCCCACTTTGCTCCCCAGGGAGGGTGAGGCCCTCCATGGGGGATCTCCAGAGTCTGTCATTTTATCCGGGACAGGGCCTAGGCCATCCCCCATGTGTCCAGGATGAGAGAGCATCCCTCCAGGTGGAATGGACTCCCAAAGTCCATTCGAGTGCTAGGGATAAATACTGATCTACTACCCGAGGCCCCATAGATTGCCAAGGCCTCCTCACTGACACCCAAATTTAGGGGGCTGGCCTCTCAGCCATAAGTCTGGGGTCCATGAGCTCTCCCTTGTTTAGGTCAGCTCTTTCTGTGGGTTTCACCAGCCTGGTCTAGATCCTTTTTTTGTTCTAGAAACTAAGATTACCTCAGTGGTTTAGTGGCAGGACATTAAACCTGAAATATAGTTTCCTGATTCCTGCTTTGTCTTCAGTATGTGGAAACATTTATGTTTTAGGGGGTTGCTATGTTGAACCAATGGGAAATGTGGGTACCTAGGAAAGGACTGCTTTTAAATTGGTGCCCAAGAGGGAGCCAGGTACTTTGGTGTGGTTTTATTTTTCCCAGGCCTTAGGTTGTCAGGTGATCTAGTGAAGCATTTCCTGGAAGTTTCTTTTCAGAAAGGGAGTGACTATGGTTTACTTTGTTACTACTTTATTATGTAAAGGAGTCTGGGTAAATATGGTTGAGGAGTGAAAGAGGACAGGAATCTCTTAGTTCCCAGGAGATGGCCTGTTTAGAGCTGTGAACATGCTGCCACATATACCAATACTATCCATGAGGCAGGCACTGTTGGTAGATATAAGTTTTCAAATAATTAACCCTTTCAGTAGACAGTTTTCAGATTAAATGCTCGGAGAGACATGTACTCTCACAGTGGTCTTGCCATGGTCCCTGACTAGAAACTATGTTCACCTGGTAGCTTGTCAAAAATTAATACTCTTGGGCACACAGTCCCCTGGTCCAAACCTCTGGGGTATGGCAGCAGTGTGGATTTGCCTAGGTAATTGGTACATACTGGCTTTCTGAAAACCAGGACACTAGAATGGAAAATGCTGTCTGACTATCTCTTTTATATTTAAATTAAGGTAGAATGTTCCTGAGGTAGGAGGGACCTTTTGTTTTCTGAGAGTATCTTTCCTGCTCTCTTCTATTGTAGTATTTTCTAGGTGGTAAGGACTCTTCTTTTAGGGTATTTTATAAACAGTAAGGATCAGCTTGTCTTAAATTGTCTACTTAGAGCAGAACACAGTGTTGCTTGGCTTTGTTTGGTGATTATTTAAAGACAGGCGTAATGTATAAATGGCCTTGAACTCTTGATCCTCTGGATTCTTTAAGTTAATAATTATCTGCCATTGATGTTAGAATCAGTTTTTCTTAAAAACAAACAACTGTTACATCTTTTAAGTAATTTCAATTTGTTGGTCTAAAAGGCACTGAAGAGTGGAGGAGGAGAGTGGGTATCACAAGGAAGGCTTGAGAAGGAAAACAAACCAGTCAGATGCTTAGGCTTTGGGGGTCAGGCTCAGGTCCAGCTTCACCAACAGTGTGGTAGGAAAGTGAGTTGCCCTTCTGAGGCTCAGTTGTCTGTCTAGTGAAGGCAAGGTCTAGATAATTAATTACTTGCCAGCTGTGTAATAGAGAACTGACTTCACCTTAGGTCATCTTTCTGGACCCTGGCTTATCTCTCTAGTAAAGGTAATACCTACATCTTCAGTTGTTGGTATTACATGAATTGGGAAATGGATGCTTTAAAAAATCTACAGCTTGCTTAACATCTGTATAATAGAGCCTCTCCTTTTACTTATCCATCCTTCAATAATGTTGTTATTATCATATGGTGGGGACAATTGACATGCACAGAGACTCAGTGACTCCATTATGCACCAGGTCATTTGTTACTCAGACCCTGGTTCTCTGGAACCGTGCTTTAGTCTCTTGAAAAGGAAAGTTGACCTTGTTCATGGGGAACCTTAGTGTCTGTCTATTGGGAGTTGGTCACTTGCCTCTAGACCAGGGAGGTGTTTGTAGTTGTAAACATGATGTTTGATGGAAGACATACCAGGTCCCTTCTCTAGGGTGTTAGTGGTTCATAAAATGATAGATTAATAAACAATTTTTATACTTTCCTAAGAATTCTTTTGGGGTATTTTGGCAGAAACTTTAAAATAATAGATAGCATTGAAAACATCTTTTGAAAGTTGATCTTTTCTGCATAAAGAAATGGGCATTCAGTTCTAGCAGATGGAGGCTGGGACAGAAGCCACCTTGTGTTACATATTGTGTTCTAGGCCAGCCTGAGCTACAAATCAAGCCCCTGCCCTTTTAAAAAACACAACAAAATTTGGTCTTTCTCTGTTTTGCTTTTTTTTTCTCTCCTTAAAAATTTCATCTTGGGGTTGGGGACATAGGTCAGTGGCAGCTTGTTGCTGAGTTCGATTACTGGTACTAGGAGTAGTATGGAGGGTGTTCCATAGAACTTTGGATTGATGTGACCTTAATTCGATTATTTATTTATTTATTTATTTATTTATTTATTTATTTATTTATTTTCAGTTGTAGAAGAATATTGGAAAAATGAACTTACAGTTGTTTGTTCTTCACGGTTTAAAAACAAATCATGGCTTTTGAACAAATAATGATTAACTTCCATTTGCAAAACACTACATCTTGCTCTTTGGGAAACTGGAAAATAACAGTGCATGTTTCACTTATTTTTTTGATATTCTAGAAAATATTTATAGACTTGCAGGCTGAAGGATTCCCTGTCATCGAGACCAGCACCCTGACTGAGGAAGGTGTCATTCAGGTTAAAACAGAGGTTGGTGCTTCCTGTTTTTGTTTTAGAAAAGTCAGTGTGGTAAAAGACTGTTTTCTTTTTAGGTATTGCTAACACTGAAAACAACTTAGATTTTTTTTTTTCATTTTCTTTGAATAGGGTTAATTCAAATTGCTAGCAATCTATGGGGGGACTTTTTTGTGTTTGTGAGGAAGCATGGGGTAAGGACCCCAAGCTGCTTCAGGATCAAGACTTAGGTTGGCCTTCAGCCCATAAAAAATTGGCTGAAAAGTGGTCTTCCCAGCTTGCTGAAGGACAATGTGAAGGAAGTTCCATACCCAGATGTCAACCTGCCTGTGTGTTGTGGAGCACTTGCATCTTGTAATTACGTGTGGCGGGGGCTGGTGTACAATGGCTTGTGACTCTGCCTTGCTTTTGTACTTTCTTAGGCTTGTGATAGGCTTTTGGCTCATCGAGTGGAAATGAAAATGAAAGGAAATAAAGTGAATGAGGTTCTGAACAGATTGCATTTAGCTGTGCCAAACAAGAGAGATGATAAGGTAAGGTGGCCCTTTGAATGAGCCTTTGCCATTCAGTGATGGTTGCTGTACTTGGTCAGTGAGTGCTTGCCACACATCTTTTCCTGGTGTTGGAGGTTGTTTAATGTGATACAAATGGACTTCACATAGAGGTGGTCACATGTGCCTGAAGGAAAGAACCAAAGTAAAGAAGAGCTCTGTGCACACTACTTCTCCCTGTGAGAGGCTGTTGCTAGTAACCATTATGTTTGTCCCTTAGAAGTGGCTTGGATGTAAACCCTCCCCCCCCCCCCCCTTTTTTTTTAATTGAGCCAATGGAAGTATATTTTTTACATTTTTATTTTATTTACATTATAAGCTGTCTGCATCTTCATACATGTGTTACTACAAATAAATCTATATTTTAAGATATAAGTATCTAAAGTATTTTTCTTTTTATATTTGTCACTTTTGCGGGGGATCAAGAAACGGTTTCTCTGTGGCTTTGGAGGCTGTCCTGGAACTAGCTCTTGTAGTTCAGACTGGTCTCGAACTCACAGAGATCCACCTGCCTCTGCCTCCCGAGTGCTGGGATTAAAGGCATGTGCCACCACTGCCCAGTGTATCTTTGTCGTTTTTTTTTTTTTTATATATATACTTTTGCTTTTCTATTGTGTATATGAGTGTCTTTCCTGCTTTGTAAACATGTGTATGCACTATGTGTCCTGGTGCCTATGGAGGCCGAAAGAGGGCGTGGGATCCACTGGAACTAGAGTCACAGATAGTGGTGAGCAGCCACATGAGTGCTGGGAACTGAACTCAGGTCTGCAGGAGCAACAAGTGCTCTTAACCGCTGAGCCATCTCTCCAATCCCTCACTTTTTGTTTTGTTTTTGAGACAAGGTTTCTCTGTTTAAACAGTCCTAGCTGTCCTGGAACTTATTCTGTAGGCCCAAGTGGCTTGGAACTCAGAGAGATCCATCTGCCTCTGCCTCCAGAGTGCTGGGATTAAAGACGTGCACCATCACTGCCAGCCTCATTTTTTTTTTAATATCTCAAAAAAAACTACACATTTTCAGACTATTAACTTACAATACTTCTTTCATAGTTATTAGTTTTTGAGTTTTACAGAGAACGGGCTATATTCCTTCCTAAAGTGCTTTAAAGTATCCTTTTTCTCTATTTTCATGGTTTTGTTTTGCTTTGATTTCTCCTCTGGATAGGAGGGTTGTGTGCTCAGTTTATTTTGTTCTGAGGGAGGTGTGGTTTACTGCTTGTGAGCCTGGTTTCTTGGGGGTAGTCATTGATCTCAACTAACCAGTGAATTTAATGCCATTGAATTCTAAACATTCTTGGATTTATGTCTGTTTCTTGTTCATTGCTTGATCTACTATTCTCCTGTCTTACTCTCTTATATAATTTTTCTGGATACTTTCTTATTTTTGCTCAGTGAAGCATGGAATCAATTTTGAGGGTTGTTTCATCTTCTTTCATACCCACTCTGGCCATGAAACTCCCTCCCTAGAATGCACTTTGTTTCTGTTGGTTGGTGGGTTTGTTTCCCTTGTAGACTGCCTTTGTTTTTAGTTTTGCTTTCTTTTAAGTTTCTCTTATATTCTGGAAGGCATTTCACATACTTTCAATAATGTGTTCTTAGGAGAGACCCCCTTTCATCCCAGAAGGAGTGGTAGCTCGAAGGAAAAGAATGGAGATTGCAGAGCCCAGGAAGAAGAGGGTAGGTCACTATACCTCTTTGTCTAGGTTTCTTATGGAGTGTAACAGAAGACTTGCCTGTGCAGCAGAAAAAGCAGCGTTGGGTGTTGGATATGTAACAGAGGCCTAGGGACTTTTAGTCACAAGAAGGAGGCTTGATGCAGTAGGATCATTCTGAGTATGCTCAGGGTTTGGCCTTGTAGGTTCAAGGACACAGTGGTGAATCCTTAACACACTCTTTACTCTAAGTAAAGCTCTTCAGTTGATGTCGTATCACAGTGAGCAAGTGCATGAGACATAATGTACCAGGTGGGTGAAGGCAGTCCTCCTGTTCCACAAAGATACAGAAAGAATGGAGGCTGGTTATTGGCAAGGGGGTAGCAAATCATTAGGGAGCATAAAAGCTAAAGTAAACTTTTGGGAGTTTTCTTTGCAGGAACGAGATCTTGAGCTGGAAATGGGAGATGATTATATTTTGGATCTTCAAAGTAAGTAATATCAGTTTTTAATTTTTTGAATATTAAACGTTGCACATTTGCAGAGCTATGTAAAATGTCTTCCATGTTATTTTCTGTTGTTTGAGATGATGGAATTATTTTTTCAGTATTTGAAGGTTGGACTTACAGATGTTGGTCAGTATTAACTTTGTTAGTAATAACTTAGGCAGTGTTGGACACAACTATTGTGTTCCCCTGTAAAGTGGTTTTACTTGGCATCTAGAATAATCATTTTTGTGACACAGTACTTGAAGATACTAGAACTACCATAAGCATAACTCCTTTTTTTTTAATGTTAGAATACTGGGACTTAATGAATTCATCCGAGAAATATGATAAGATACCAGAGATCTGGGAAGGCCATAACGTTGCTGATTATATCGATCCTGCTATCATGAAGGTCTGCTTCCCGTTTTAATTATCCCTCGCCCAAACCAACTTTTACCCTTTTGCTCTCTGTTCTATGCCCTAGGCATCCTTCCACCATGTTCTCTAAATACTTGGAGATATCACTTTTCCACTTAGATGACACTATTCTTCCTTTGCCCTGTGTAGTTCTAGTGATGCCCAGGCCTTTCACACTGGCCTGTAATGAACTGTGCCATTTTGACTTGCATTGGTACTGTAGGGTGGTGATCCTGTCACTGGTTCAGTCTTGTCCCTGTAACTGTTGTAGATATTTTCTGAGTACTGTCAGACCTCCTGCTTTCTCCTTTTGCTAGTCCAGCAAGTGACAATGTTTTCCTAAGAATACTGAGTCCTTGGAGTGTAAACTATGATTTCCAGATTCTGTGTTTCACTGACCCGTTTATGTTTAGATCCTTCTAATCTGAAAGAGGGCTTTAAGTTCAGTGGGTCCTGCCTTTTCTTAGATACATTATCCCAGAAAGCTGTCCCACCACTGACCTTTTTCTTACCTTGATACCCATCCCTTACTTGCTTTTTCATTGCATGTCAGTGTTTACACATTTACATCATTGATTGGTTGGTTGGTTGTGTGTGTTGTGTTCTTGTTGCTGGGGATCAACCCAGAGTCTTGTGCTTGTTAGGCCAGGACTCTGCCACATAGCTATACCCCCAACCCCACATGAGTATTTAAATTTTCATTTTGTCCTATTTTTGTAATCAGTGTGACTGTGTTCAGGATGTTATTTGAGAGGATGAATGGGAGTTGGTACACCTTTATTTTGTGAATCTGCTAGGAACACTGGGGAATAAAGAAAGGGGTCCCTACATTTTTATCTTTAAAGACAAAACAGAATTGTCAGAAAATAAAGCATGCAGTGTTCGTGCTATCTCTGCGGCCCTCATATATCCCCCTTCCTGTGAGATTGGCTGTGTACATGTGGAGCCCAGTTGTGGCTAGACCAGGACACAACATTGTCATATTTTCGAAGACTTAAGGAAACATGATCCTATAAATATGTTGCTACACTTAATTTCCTTGCAAGTTTTTCTTTATTAATTTTATGATTCTTCTTAAAGAAACTGGAAGAATTAGAAAAGGAAGAAGAGCTAAGAACAGCTGCTGGGGAGTATGACAGTGACTCTGAAAGTGAAGATGAGGAAATGATGGAAATCCGACAGCTGGCAAAACAAATTAGAGAAAAAAAGAAGTTGAAAATTCTGCAGTCCAAGGAAAAGAATACACAGGGACCCAGGATGCCCCGAACTGCTAAGAAGGTCAGTCTTGAGCATTATAGAGGTAGGGCTGAACTCTCGTGCTGAATCCTGTGTAAACGGCCACTAGAGACAGGCTTCCACCACTTGGGGATGTCAGGTGGCACACTGAGGGACTGAGGTATACTAACTTAAGATTCTTTGCCTGGAGCTGTTCTATTCTGACTGTTGTATCTTTTCTCCCTGAATTGTAACTCCAAGTCAATCCCTGTTACAAACTGACTCATTGCTGTAGTTATATAAGTTAAAACTAAACTTGAAGTTTGAAAATGTTAGTTATCCCATATAATATCTCCCCATCCCCCCAAGAGTTTCTCTGTGTACTCAATTTGTCCTGGAACAATTTGTAGACCAGGCTGGCCTTGAACCTATAGATGTCCATCTGTCTCTGACTCCCAGGTATTAGGATTAAAGGTGTGAGCCAGCACCGCCTGGCTTAATTTTAAAATAGGGTCTCATGTTGTTCAGGCTAGCCTTAAACTTGCTTTGTAGCCAAGAAACTCTTGACTCCTACTCCGTAAATGTCAGGATTACAGCTGTGTGCCACCATACCCAGTGCCAATATTTTTACACTATTTAATTTCTCTATTGATTAAGATTTCTAAATCCACAGGGCAGTTTATCAGCACCTGTTACTGGTGAGGATAGAGAGAAACTCTGTAGGTGTGAATGGAAGACAACAAGATTCTTCCCATTTCTTGGCTTCATGTTGGGATGTCATTGTCTCCTACTTCCGCTTTTGTCTAGATGACAGGCCCATATCACATGTCTACCCTTTTGGCTATAACTTCCCTGAAAGATGGGGTAAGAGAGTGGCAGGTTCCCAAAAGAGACGAGGTTCTGGGAAGTTAAAATATAATGGGAGGGGAAGGAGTGGAATTTGGCACTGTAGGTGTCGTAATGAGCAGTCCTGATTCTGAAAGTACTGTTTTCATGTGATTGAGTGCCTGCTAATAGTTGCAGACATGTTTGTGCTTCTCCTGGTAGTACTCAGTGGTCTCTGAGGAGAGATTGTGATTCTGAGTCTGTCTTCCCTCAACTTTAGTACCTTCTCTATCCTATGCAGCCATTCTCCACTCCCAGGGTCATAACAGTCTTGTCATGGCTTCTACATAGCAAATGCACTGTTAGTTTTAATGGGATTTAATTGAAATGTTCAGAAACAAAAGACATCCCAACTGGAAAAGAGCATTTTTTGCAATGTGTATGGATCATTGTAAAAGGTATACTTGGAAGATCCAAAGCAAGAAGTAAGTGAGGTTTTCTCCCTGTAAGCTGCAGCATGAATCCTTTATTTGATCACAGATTGTGAATGAGTGGGAGAAGTCTCCATCGTCAACCTGTCAAGCAATCAGTCCTTCAACAGACGCTGTTGGGTATTCCCTAACTTAATTCACTTTTCACATCATCTGCCTCTACCTGGAGGTAGTAGCTTCAAAACTGAGAAGCTGAAGGTTCCCTTCCAGTAGACTAGTCCCGTTCACCTAAAAACATCAGCATAAGTCAGGCCTCCAGAGCTTGGCTCTCCAGTACAGAGAGTGATTCCTGTGTCCCTCTCTTTGAGTTTGATATATTTACTGTAGTACTTCACAAAATAAGGAAGAACACTACCTTTCTCTTCCAGTCCTTGAGGAAATGATGAGGCTTATGAACATTAGGATCTAGTAACTGTGGACAATACATGTATCTGTATTACAGTATCATCTGTATAATTTCCTTTTTTTTTCTTTCAAAATTAAATTTCACCAGACATTTTACTTAACATAAGCTATCTTTCTTCCTCACTGCAGGTTCAGCGGGCAGACTTGGAGAATGAGATGCGTAGTCTTGGTGTTGACATGGATGATAAAGACAATGTAAGTCTATGGAGGGCAGCATGATTTCACATATGGTTTGTGCCTTTGTTGTTTTGAGGCATTGCTTTGCTATGTAGCCCAACCTAGCTTCAAACTCAGTATTTCCCTGCCTCTAGTTCTCCAGGGCTGGTAGTCAGGAATGTGCATACAGTCATGGGTTGCTTAATGATGTGAGCAGTCTGTCACGAGGTGATTCTATTATGTGAATATCATGGCATGCACATAAAGTACATAAACATAACTGGTGAAAATGTCTACTACCTAGACTGTTTGGGGTGAAGGGAAGGAGTCAGGGAGTTAAAAACCTTGATTGATATATACATCATGTAAATTGTGGATCCAAAACATTGTTATTCCCTTACACGTTTGATATTAACTCGTAGAGAACATTAGCACAGAGATCCCTGCTCATCCTCAGGTGGAAGGTGCAAGAGCGGCAGCTCAAAAGCACCATCTGAATTAGCAACAATATGGGTGCTGAGCTGGGCATTCTGTTGTCCGCTGGGACAACAGCAGTGTGCTGATGCCTTTGACTTTTAGTTTGCTTCAAAACAGACTCTATGCCATTAAATCTCTGTTGGCATTTCAAAGTCTTTTCCTTGCATGATAATAGTTCTTAAAACCTTAACTGTCTTTGCTTCTGAGTAATTTTGATTGTTATGGGTTTGCTGTTTATGCCTTCCAGGCCCACTATGCAGTCCAGGCAAGAAGATCTCGGAGCGTCACTAGGAAAAGAAAACGAGAAGAATCTGTGCCACCCTCTTCTATAGCCCGGAGTCGTAGTTGCTCTCGAACTCCACGTGATGTTTCTGGTCTTCGGGATGTCAAGGTGAGTTTCTTTGATAGGGGACAGTAGGAAAGAGCTTTCAGGGTGCTTATTGTACAAAGCCTCCAGCAAACACCAGCAGTTGTTCGGAGGAGCAGAGTTGTGGGTAAGAGTTCAGCTATTCATTCCATCCTCCAGTTTGTTGGAGTCCTTTGGAGAGGAACTTGGGCAGGAAACAGTTGGGTCTCCTTGATCCATTCCGAAACCTTTACTCTGGAGAATGGACAGAAACATGATTTGATATGAACAGTCTGAACTTTGATCCCAGCTGTTTGGAAAATGTTAGGGTGTGGCTTCTACTTCTCCTGTGAGGAAGTGGCTCAGGGGAACTTCAGTTCAGTACCAGATGATCCTGTGTCTTTAAGTTATTAGAATTTTTTTCCCTGGAGGTGGTAACCTGGATCAGTATGGTATTATTTATATATAGTGTCTTGCAAAGATGTAATGGGTGTTTAAATCTCAATGGAATTTCTTTTTGAGGAACACAATTTTCTTTTAAATTTTAGTATGTTGCAAATTCAAATATAAAAGAAAACCTATGTAAGCTGGCAGACTGCTGAGTCTTTCTTTTTTTTTTTTGAGACAGGTTTTGGAACCTGTCCTGGAACTCACTCTGTAGACCAGGCTGCCCTCAAATTCACAGAGCACACGCCTTTAATCCCGGGTGCTAGGATTAAAGGCGTGTGCCACCAACGCCCAGCTGAGTTTTTCTTTTTTACATGTCACCATCATCTGGAAATCTAGAAAGTGTATGTTGAGTTGAGACAGTGTCTTACTGTTTCCCATGTTGGCCAGGCTTCTTGCTCTGTAGTCCAGACTCACAGTTCTCCTTCCCCAGCTTCCATCGTCAGCAAGGATTGCAAGTGTGCACTACTGAACTGTGGGTTTGAATACTGGCTTCGACACTTAGGAGTCAGATGTGGCAGTGTATGCTCTCCCGAGTTTCAGTGTGTTACCCAGAAAGTTTGAGCAGATATTCTGTAGTCTTCTGACTCTAAAGGCCCCCGGTGTATTTAGACAGTCACTGAGTTTCTGCAGATAGTGTGATGGTCTGAGAAACAGTGACTGAGACTCAATAGGGTCTTTATCGTTCGTATCTGCTCTCATATAATGTTTCTTAGCTAATTACAATGCAGGATAGCAATGTGGCTTTCATTTGTGTGTTCTCCTGTATAGATGGTGAAGAAAGCCAAGACGATGATGAAGAAAGCCCAGAAGAAGATGAATCGCTTGGGGAAGAAAGGGGAAGCTGATAGGCATGTGTTTGACATGAAGCCCAAACACTTACTCTCTGGGAAGAGGAAAGCTGGTAAAAAGGACAGGAGATAGTGTCCTCTTCAGTTGATGTGCTTTGATTGGACTTACTGTTTATTTCTGTTAAAGAAACAATGGGAATGACTTAAAAATACTTGTTGCTTTGCTGAAAACTGATAAACCTGATTGGATGTGCAGTCTTGTGCTCACTGCATAATACAAATGATTGCTTCACATTTGCAGGACTAATTTTGTGGGAAAGTTTTATTAGTAGCTGGGCAGTGGTGGTACATGTCTTTAATCCCAGCACTTGGGGGGCAGGGGCAGGTGGATCTCTGAGTGCGGAAACCAGTCCGGTCTACGGAGCAAGTTCTAGGACAGCCCCCTCTACACATAGAAACCCTTTTTCTAAAAGCCAAAAAAAAAAAAAAGTAAAGATTTATTAGTATAAGTAGGCTGCTTTTGGTGGAGAAAAATTTTATTTTGTAGTGGAACTTGACTTTGTTATCCAAAGTGCCTATTTTTTTGTGAAGAAAGCATCCCCATTGGGGGATGGGGGTGTAGCCTTTCTGAGGGCCTGGACACAGGCACTTTTAGGAGTGTGTCAGAACTTAAATTACTCTCTTAAATTATTTTCTAGACCTTCAGTACAATGTATCATTGTAACTTCAACCAATTTATCCAAAATAAACCTCCAGCAAAAATGCAGTTTTGATTATTTAAGTATTGTTTGATTTAATAACAAGCTGCTATGATGGCCAAAGACAAAAAGATAGGACTTTGCAAAAATACTTTTTCAGGGAAATAAATACCTGGGTTATTGCAACAATTAAACATGACATCTTCTTTTATGAACCATTGCCGAATTAAGAAACAATTCCATTTACAAGAAAGAATGGAAACTTGGGAATAAGCGGAAACAAAATGTTGGTGCCCTGGAAGGTACAAAAACGTTGATGAGAGGCATCGGGGCAGCTGGAATTTCATCATCTGTTCACACAACAGAAGGCAGTCTTCAAGTCTCTACTTTCTGTCAGAGTAACAGCTTCAATTCAGACGTCTGTTAAAACCCAGCGACATGTTACACACATACAAAGAAACTTCCTAAAATTATGTGGAAATAATCTGTTGATGTTTTAAAAATTAGCTTCTAATGTGTTTTAGTTCTCTGATGAAATTCAACATCTTGATCATTTTTTGAATGGGAGGGGTTTGACTGTCTTAAAGTCTATAATCATTAGTATGCCTAATAATTTGATTACATTATGGAATTATGCATTTAACATGGTGGAAGTTCTAGATGATGTTCTTTTCTTAAAGGATCTTCTATTTATTTTTCTGAGACATTAGTGAGGAAGGGAAGGGAGCCAGGAACAATGAAAGGGATGAGAAAAACAGGAAGTCTAACCTAGAGTTTAGTTTGTATATACTGTGGCAAAAGTCAGGAAAATTCTACACAAATTATGAAACCAAGTTCATTGACATTCATAATACTTTTTTTAAAAAAGGCATCTCAAAACAATGCTGTTGAAAACAAGAGTTAAGCTTGTTTAGGACCAGAATGCTGTGACTTTGAATTTAACATATTAGCAAGCTGCTCTCATCACTGTTAGAAAGAATGGGCAGTGGGTGCTGATTGGTAGGCACTGAGCTATCTTTCTGCTGACCAGATCCTTTAGTAGTGCTGGTTACTAGCAGAGATTCAACAACAACCCCTCTAGAGAGACTCTCAAATAGTCAAAACAAGAAAAATGTTAGGACTCATTCTGATTGTAACCATACTACAAAGTGATAATAAGGACATTGTGATACTGCCATAGAGACAGCCATACAGACTGATGGAACAAGGTAGACAACTCTGAAGTAAAGCATTTTAGATGTAGTCAAATTATCCTAAACTGTTTACCAGAGCTTACAGTGGAGAAGGACTACTGTCTCCAACAAGCCTCTTCGGGAAATGTTGATATGTATAGGCTACAGTCAGGTTCTACCTTGTACCACATGAGAAACAGACACTTTAAAAAAGGTTACGTATATTTAATCCCAGCACTCGGAGGCAGAGGCAGGCGGATCTCTGTGAGCTCGAGGCCAGGCTGGACCGACAGCTTCCAAAACAATACAGAGAAACCCTGTCTCGTAAAACCAAAAAAAAAAAAAAAAAAAAGGTTACGTATAAGAACCCCAAACTACAAAACTTTAAAGAAAATGGTAAAACCATCCGAACATTAGATTTGACAGTTTCTCCGATAAGATAACAAAGGTAAAAGTAGACAATAGGACTACATCAAGATTTTTTTGCATCAAAGGAGACTACAAAATGAAAGAAAAGTTTTGCAGATGACATACAATCAGGGATATGAGTGATATATAGTTTGTAAATTTGTAATTCAAATTTGTAATTCAAATACTGGCTAGTATCTGAATATATATTTCTCCAAACAAGATAGTCAAATGTCCAGAGAAGTATATGAGTTCTTCAGTATCACCTAATCTTTAGGGAAATACAAATAGAAACCAGTGAGAAAACACTACTGCGCACCCACTGGCCAGATCAAACAGTAGCAGGACGTGGGTAAGCATGGGAGTCAATGTAAACCCTTTCCTTGCGGTGCTCCCGTCAGGTATTTGGCAGAGTGCTCGCCAGACATCTAACATGCATGGGGCTAGAGAGAACACAGATGGCTGTGAGAAACCTCATCATGCCTTGATGCTTAGCCTGCTTGGTACTCAGGTGATCCTTCCTTGCTTGAGAAAATCACTGATTATATTTTGAAAAGGTATCTTCATTTTTAATTATTTTTCTAAAGATACCAGACTTGTTTGTAAGAACGATAATTTAATTTCATGTTTAGTCTATTCTATTCCTGAGATATATAAAAAGAAAAATATTAATAATCAGAAAATCTATTTTTTGTTTTTTGAGACAGGGTTTCTCCTTGAAACATTCATTCCTGGCTGTCCTGGAACTCACTCTGTTGGCCAGGCAGGCCTCGAACTCAGAGATCCGCCTGCTCTGCTTCCTGTGCGCTGGGATTAAAGGCATGCTTTGCTACTGCCTGACCCCAAAATCTATTTTTTACTAGGCTATTTTGTTCCCTAGGTCTAGATTTGTTCTCTAGGTCATTCTGTTATAATGCCACTAATACAGTAATGTACAGAGGTACATAGTGAGGCTGTATCTGGAGCAAAAACAAAACTAACAAACAAAAAAACAGATAGCAAGGAGTTTGAGAAACAATGAAATAGAAATTCTTCATTATGCAAACAATGAAGAGAAATCAGGTAAATTGTTCTTTTCCAAATTTTCTGATGACTGAATCTTTTAATACAATTTAGATAATAAAGATTATGAGTTTTAGTCGTTGATATTTTGAAATTTTATGTGCATGAGTTATTTACTTTTGTCTGTATGTACACCACATTGTACATGCCAGGTAATAGCAGATGTCACCAGAGTGTGTAAGATCCTCTGGATCTGAAGTTATGGCTAATTGTGAGCCACCATGTGGATGCTGGCAATGGAACCCTGGTTCTCTGCAAGAGCAGCAAGTGCTCTTAACTGCTGAGTCATCTCAACCCCATTCAGTGCTTTGAACATACTTTTCCATACTCCTCACAGTCCATATATCCTGTCAGGCTCAATGAATGGAGACACATCCTCTGAAGAAGGCCCCCAAGGGAACAGGAAGCCTTCTGTGATGCTTCCCAACCACAGAATGACCACAGGACATGCGGCTAACTAGAGTGGAAATGAGAACACTTGAGCTCCAGTACAGTGATTTGTTTCACAGCCTGTCCTGTGGACTAGGCTTGAGACACTTTTTAAAAAAATTTTTTTTATTTCTAAATTTAAATTAGAAACAAGGTTGCTTCACATGTCAATCCCAGGTCCCTCTCCCTTTCCCTCCCCTCCTCCCATGGCCTTCTACCAATCCCGCATACCCCCTCATTTCCCAGGAAGGGTAAGGCCCTCCATGGGGTGTCCATAGTCTGTCATTTCATCCAGGGCAAGGCCTAGACCCTCCCCCAAGAGTCCAGGATGAGAGTGCATTTCTCATTGTTGGATAGGCACCCAAAGTCCATTTGTATGCCAGGGATAAATACTGATCTACTACCCAAGGCTCAATAGATTACCTAGGCCTCCTCACTGATGCCCACATTCAGGGGTTTTTGATCAGTCCCATGCTGGATTCCCAGCCATCAGCCTGGGATTCCAGAGGTAACCTTTGTGAGGTCAGCTGTTTCGGGGGTTAAACCAGCCCAGTCTTAACCCCTTTGCTCATCAGTCCTCCCTCTCTGTCACTGAGTTCCTTGAGTTCAGCTCAGTGTTTAGCTGTAGAAGTCTACCTCTGCTTCCATCACCCCATTAAGTGAAGGTTTTGTTTCCCAGATTCTGGCAATAACATTGTAGGCTGGCACTCCCCAGATCTATATCTAAAATCCATAAACGAGAGAATACATATCATGTTTCTTTTTTTGTGACTGGGTTACCTCACTCAGGATGGTTTCTTCTAGTGCCATCCATTTACTTGCAAATTTTAGGATTCCATTTTTTTTTCTGCTGAATAGTACTCTATTGTGACAATGTACCACATTTTCTCTATCCATTCCAGTTGAGGGGCATCTAGGTTGCTTCCAAATTCTGGCTATTACAAATAATGCTGCTACGAACATAGTGGAACAGTGTCCTTGTTGTATGAATATGCGTCTTTTGGATATATGCCTAAGAATGGAATTGCTGGGTCTTATGGTAGGCGTATTCCCATTTTTCTGAGGAGTCTCCATACTGGTTTCCAAAGTGGCTGTACAAGTTGGCACTCCCACCAGCAGTGGAGGAGGGTTCCCCTTTCTCTACAACCTCTCCAGCATAAACTGTCATTGGTGTTTTTTATCTGACAGGAGTAAGATGGTATCTCAGCCCTCTGTCAGATGTGGGGTTAGTGAATATCTTTTCCCATTCTGTGGGCTGCCTTTTTGTCTTGTTGACTGTGTCCTTTGCCTTACAGAAGCTTCTCAGTTTCAGGAGGTCCCATGTATTAATTGTTGACCTAAGTGTCTGTGCTACTGGTGTTATGTTCAGGAAGCAGTCTCTTGTACCAATTTGCTCAAGGGTACCACCCATTTTCTCTTCTAAGAGGTTCAGTGTGGTTGGATTTATGTTGAGGTCTTTGATCCATTTGGACTTAAGTTTTGTGCATGGCGATAAACATGGATCTATCCACATTGTTCGACATGCCAGCATATAGTTATGCCGGCACCATTTGTTGAAGATGTTTTCTTTTTTCCATTGTATATTTTTAGCTTCTTTGTCGAAGATCAGATGTTTATACATGTGTGGGTTAATATCCGGGTGTTCAATTCCATTCCATTGGTCTACCTGTCTATTTTTGTGCCAATACCAAGGTGTTCAGGACTATAGCTCTATAATAGAACTTGAAGTCAGGGATGGTAATCAGATGTTGCTTTGTTGAGTAAGGTTGTTTTGGCTATCCTGGGTCTTTTGTTTTTCCATAAAAAATTGATTATTGTTCTTTCAAGGTCTGTGAAGAATTTTGCTGGGATGTTTATGGGGATTGCGTTAAATCTGTATATTGCTTTTGGTAAGATTGCCATTTTTACTATGTTGATCCTACCTATCCAAGAGCATGGGAGATCTTTCCATTTTCTGGTGTCTTCTTTAATTTCTTTAAAGACTCAAAGTTCGTGCT